TGTGTTTCCGATCTTACTGCGAGGTCACGATCTCTCTCTCTCTCGCTCTCTTTCTATTTCTTTCTTTTTAATTCTCTGTCTTATTCTCTCTCTTTCGCTATCTTTCTGATCCTACTGAGAGGTTACGATCTCTCTCGCTCTCTTTCTGTCTTTTTCTTTCTCTTTCTTTGTCTTTCTCTGTTTTTCTCTTTCTCTTTCTCTTTCTTTCTTTGTCTTTTTCTCTCTCTTTCTCTATCTTCCCGATCCTACTGCGAGGTCACTATCTCACTCACTCTTTCTCTGTCCTTTTCTCTCTCTTTCTCTATCTTTCTGATCTTACTGCAAGGTCACGATCTCTCTCTCGCTCTCTTTCTCTGTCTTTTTCTTTCTTGCTTTCTCTTTCTGATCCTACTACGAGGTCACGGTCTCTCTCTCGCTCTCTTTCTTTCTCTCTTTCTATGTCTTTTTCTCTCTCTTTCACTATTTTTTCCTCTCTTTCCCTTCCAGTATCACTTCCAAAGTCCCTCCTTCCTATTCTTTCTTTCTGTCTCTCTCTCCCTCTCTTATTCATCCCCATCCTTTCCTTCTCTCTCTTTCTCCATCTATCTATCCCTCTCCTACACTCCATCACCCTCTCCTTCTTCCTCTCCCCATCCTCCTTCCCTCTCTTATACTTCCCCACACTCCCTCTTCCTCTTCCAATCCTTCTTCCCTTTCCTCCCACACTCCCTCACCTTCTCCCTCCTCTTCATCCCTCTCCTCTTACTCCCTCACCCTCTCCCTCACCCTTCCCTCCCTCCCTAGCCCAGACTCCCTCTCCTCTCCCTTTCCCCACCCTCTCCTTTACTCCTCCCCTTCTCCCCACCCTCCCTCCCTAGCCAGACTCCCTCTCCCTCTCCCCACCTCCCTGCCTCTCCCTCCCTCCCTCCTTCTTCCCTCCCTCCCTGTCTCCCTCCCAAGCAATTGACAAGGCGTAACAGGGAAGCCCGCCCGCCCACCAGGACTCCCCTTCCGTGCGGCGTGATGTTGCTTCAGAAGCGAGAAATGGCATCGTTTCGTTTTGTCTTGTGGGGCGGCGTCGATAAGCTCCCGTCGGGCGGCCGGGGAGAGAATCTGTTTGGTCGGGGCGTGGGCGTGAGGTGGGGATGTGTTAGGGGTGGGCGTGGGGATGAGTGGGAGGTGGGTGGGTGTGGGGGCTGGGAAGAGGCGGGGATGGGCGTGGATGAATTGGGGGTAATGGGTGGGTGGGTGGGCAAGGAAGAGGTGGAATGGGCGTGGGGGGAAGAAGAAGCCGGGGAAGAGACGGGACGAGGCGAAGATAGCGTGGGCGTGGGGGGAAACGGAGTCGGGTGGGATGGGGCAGAAAAGAAAGTAGGACAGAGATGGGCGTGGAGCAGGACCGAAGCGAAAGTTGGGGATTTCGTTACTCCGTTTCCAGGTGAAGGGAAGGGGAAGGGGAAGGGGGGGATAATACACCCTGTTCAATTAGCCAGAATTCGGTGGCAAATGTTATTCGAGTTAATTGGCGTTGCGAAGGCCATCCATCTTCTCCTTCTCGAGCGGCGAGTACGAAGGGGGCTGTAATGGCGGCTTCTCGGGCTCGTAATGACACCGTGTCAGGCGCAACTCGGACCAGGGGGAAGGGAGGGGGGAGGGGGGGGAAGGGCACGCGGTGTGAATCGAGCTGATCCGATATGACCGCGAGTGAACTGACCAGACGACGTGAAATGAACAGACGAGACGACCTGGAGAATGTTGATTAGACGACCTGAGTAAAACCATACCAGACGACCTGAGGAGTATTGACTAGACATGGACATGACCAGACCAGACGACCAGGAGAGGTGCTGACCAACGATATGAAGAACAGAGATGACCAGCGTTGATATGTACTTGACCAAAAACGACCTGTAGACAAGTGGCCAGACAAGACGACCCGAAGTGAAAGGTCAGCTGACAACGAAGGCGGCGTATGACCCCATCCCCACCCTGTCACTCCCTCACCCTCTCACCCACTCCCGCCCTCGCCCAATCCACGCCCACCAAAACAATTACAACACCGTCACCCCACCCCCTCACCCCCCCCCAGGACGCCAGACTCCGACGCAACCGAGCCCACAACCCCCATCCCTCCTCCCTCCCCTCCCCTCACCCCTCACCCCCCACCCTCCCTGCCGCGGACTGACCTCCCGAGACGAAGCAACCCCCCCCCAACCCCCGCTAATCCTCCAAGCGAGAATCCTACTCTCCTGCCGCGACCGAAGGGATTTCCAGCGACATTCCTCGGCCGGAGGAATGCAAGGCTAGATATCCTGTGCCGGGGAGGGAGAAGGAAGAGAAAAGGAGGAGGGAAAGAGGAGGGAAGGAGGGAGGAGGAAGAAGGGAGGGGAAGAGAGGGAGAGGGAGAGGGAAGAAGGAGAGGAGAAGGAGAAGGTGAGGGAGAGGGTGAGGGGGAGAGGGAAGGAGGGAGGGAGGGAGAGAGAGAGGAGGAGAGATGAGAGAGAGAGAGAGAGAAGGGAGAGAGAGAGGGAAGAGAGAGAGGAGAGAGAGAGAGAGAGAGAGAATTAGAGGAAGAGAGAGAGAGAGAGAGAGAGAGGAGAGAGAGAGAGAGAGAGAGGAGAGGAGAGATGAGAGAGAAGAGAGAGAGAGAGAGAGAGAGAGAGAAGAGAGGAAGAGAGAGGAGCGAAAGAGAAGGGAGAATAGAGAGAGGCAGGAGAGCCGAGGGCGATGTCATGCGCGCTTCGCGCTTTTAGCGTCGATGGAGATTCAGGGATAGAAAAGAATTCAAGAAAATCAATGGAATGCTCAATATAATAGACGATGCTCTCAGGAGCTTGAAGATGGATCAATATAAAACACAATACATTCAGAATTCCAGTGTTGAATCAGTATTCAAAATAACGATATCAAGAAATCCAGTGTTTGATACGAGTATCAAAACGATATTCAAGAATCCAGTGTGATATCTTAGTATCAAACGATATTCAGAATCCAAGTGTTTAATATCAGTTATAAAAACGATATTCAGAATCCAGTGTTTGATATCAGTATCAAAACGGAACGATATTCAGAATCAGTGTTGGGATTGGTGATCTAGTATCTCAAAACGCGATATTTCAGAATCCAGTAAGTTGTTGATGATCAAGAGTATCAAAACGAATATCAGAATCCGTGTTGATGATCAGTATCAAAACGATTATTCAGAATCCAGTGATTGATATCCAGTTATCAAAACGATATTCGAATCCCTAGTGTTAGATATCAGTAATCAAAACGATATTTCAGAAATCCAGGTGTTGATATCAGTTATCAAAACGATATCAGAATCCAGTGTTGATTCAGAGCAAAACGATATTCAGAATCCAGTGTTGATATCAGCTATCAAAACGATATTGCAGAATCAGTCGTTGAATATCAGTATCAAACGATATCAGAATCAGTGTTGTAATAATCAGTTATAAAAACGATATTCAGAATCCAGTGTTGATATTCATAATCAAAACGTATATCAGAATCCAGTGTTGATATCAGTATCAAAAACGATTTCAGAATCCAGTGTTTGATATCAGTATCAAAACGATATTCAGAAATCCAGTGTGATATTCAGTATCAAAACGATATTCAAGAATCCAGGTGTTAATATAGTATCAAAACCGATATTCAGATCCAGTGTTGATATCAGATCAAACGATATTCAGAATCCAGTGTTGATATCAGTATCAAAACGATATCAGAAGCCAGTGGTGATATCAGTATCAAAACGATATCAGAATCCGAGTGTTGATATCAGTATCAAAAACGATATTCAGCAATCCAGTGTTGATATCAGTATCAAAAAACGATATCAGAATCCAGTGTTAATATCAGTATAAAAACGATTATTGAGAATCCAGTGTTGATATCAGTATAAGAACGCATATTCAGAATCCAGTGAGTGATGTCAATAAAAGCAGATGAATCAGACCCAATGGAGGATGTTAGTTTAAAAGACGAACCTCTCACAAGATGAAAGATGGTCAATACAAAGAATAAAGCTCTCGCAAACCACAGACTCAGACGAGAGAGAGAGAGGAAGAGAGAGAGAAAGAAAGAGAGAGAGAGAGGGAGAGGAGAGAGAGAGAGAGAGATGCAGACGAGAGAGACATGAGAGAGAGAGAGAAGAGATGAGAGAGAGAGAGAGAGAGAGAGGAGAGTGAGAAGAGAAGAGAGATGAGAGAGATAGAAAGAGAGAAAGAGAGA